GATTATTATGATTATGATTAGTCAAATGCAAAAAGCCACACTGCTTGGATCTGCACGCATATTACGAAAATACGTTACGACGTCCTAGGCCCCTGGGTGGGGCCCGACTAGTAACCAATGCCAAATCCGGCGAAACAACTGGCTGCTGTGATACAATTGTATAATAATAATCATCATAATAATAATTGATGACAACTTGACAACTTCACTTTTTTAGTGCTGTTGTAACTTTGGATAGTCACTCAATGAACTGTTGTACATCAAGGACTACCTGTACTGGAAGACAGTTATGATGGCCCCTTCCCTTTGATAAACTAGACCAGTGCCCAAAAGGGAGCACTGCGTGCGGGTGCTACCCTCTTGTGCACACTATCGTCTGGGCCACAAGCAGGAAGAGGAGCTGCCCAGGGGGCACGCACATGCTGGAAAATGTACTTCTGGTTCCCAGCGCACACATGCACGCCGGCCAGCAAGTCCTCCAGTTACTGCCACGCATGCGGACGTGCCAATCAGCTGCCCAGTGCGCATACTCACACCGGAAAATGGAACACCAGCTCTTCTGGTTTCTGGCATTGCCGTATGCACAAAGTCCAGTTGATCGGTGCTTGCGCATGCACCCCGGAAACCTGGAACAGGCAACACTGCACGTGCCAGGCGGCATGGCTCCATGTGCCGCTTTCGGCACACGTGCCATAGGTTCGCCATCGCAGAATTAGACATTTCTAGGTCGCTCAATTGTTCATCATGCAAACATTCCTTTCATTACGAACAAAGACAAACATACAAACGTTCCTTTCATTTCCCGCATAGGAAATCCATCTAAATTTCTCTCTTGATCCTTAGCTCCTGCTTGCGCTCCTGGCTCGAGCAAGACACCTCCTGCCCGACCTGCAGGATGTCTCTGAATATTGCAGACAACCAGCAAGCTCCGGAGGACCACCCGAGAGAGAACCTGGATGAAAACTTGCCCCCCGTGGCAGCAGCTGAAGGAAGACCTCATCTCAACCAGCACAATCACTTCTTCCACTTTGACGGTGAGTTCACCACCTGCAGGTCACAACTACCGGTTCTTTCGAACCGATCCGAAAAAGTAGCAGCTACTACTGCTCTGAGAGTCTCAAGAACCCCTCCTCTCAATCCTGAGCTACAAATATTCTTCCTTCCTCTTTTTTCCCTCCTTCTCTTCCTTTCATCCATCTTTTTCCCTCCCTCCTATTCGCTCTTTCCTTCCTTCCTTCCTTCCTTCCTTCCTTCCTTCCTTCCTTCCTTCCTTCCTTCCTTCCCCCCTCCATCATTTTCCCTCCTTCTCTTTTTCCATTCATCCATCTTTTCCCCTCCCTCCTGCTATTC